GTATGTTATGGGGTCAAAGGTCACACACTCTAACCTCCAACTCGCAGGTCACCGCTTCTCGCCGCCCAAACTCGAGACGTTCTTCAAGGACGACGTCCAGTTGCTGCGGGAGAGAGAGAGTTAGTGGCAGAGTCACGTGACAGACTATGAGAGTCACGTGGGCACGAGGATGAGTTGGATGATGGCGAGGAAGAGGAAGACGACGGCCACGGAGTTGAGGTCGAAGTCGCGGAAGCGCTGCGTTTGGAACGCCGTCTCGAGCGAAGACTTGTGGAACGTGAGCCACAGGGGATGGATGTCGTGATTGGCTGTTGAAGAAAAGAGGGCGGAGAGCGAGCGCTGCGGCAGAAGCGACGTCTCGATGAGAGAGATGCTCTGAAAGAAGTTCCTTTAGGCAAGTTTCCGCAAGTTTCCGGGAATTTCTGCTTACAGTCTGCGTCACGTTCTTGGCGATGATCTTCTCGGACACGTTGGCGAAAGGCGTGTCTGCGCTGAACCCGCATTCCGTCCACTTATTGCTCCGCTTGACCGAAGCGCACACCGAGCGCTTGCGGCGGTCGACGGCGCGCGACGACAACAACGGCGACGCCTTTAAAAGAAGAAGTTCTTGTGAAAGATTTCGAGCGAAAGCTCTCTTACTTTGGGAGCGATTATGAGAAAGCTCTGGACGCGGTGTTCGGCCAAATACTGGTCACGTGACTGGCCGTCCGTCGCCTCGAAGTCGAACCTGTCGTCCAATAGGCGCAGAGTGTCTTCTGTCACGTGAACGCGCCTTCAATTAGAGAACGCATTAATCGCTTGAAAGAGAAACGCTGACAAGCAGGAAGGGCACATGCTCGACAAACAGGTAATGAGTGACCACTCGCTGACCAATGAGTGACCGCTGCTTCAGATCTACAGAAACCTGGACGCGAAGGCGTGACAGCGTGACAGCGCTCACCCGGGAATGCCGCCCGACTCCATGTGGTTGGCGAGCGTGACGTCATCGCTCCACACGTCGTACTGCCACTTGCGGAGGCCGATGATGCCGCACAGCACGTTGCCGGAGTGCACGCCAATGCGCATGTCCACGCCGACGCCCGTTTGGTAGCGCACGCTGCGGATGGCGTCGATCATGTGCAATCCCATGTGCACGCAGTTGATGGCGTGGTTCGGGCGCGAGACCGGAAGTCCCGACACGCAATAGTAGCAGTCGCCGAGGATCTTGATCCTTAAGCAGTGGTTCTCCTGAGCGAGCGCGTCGAAGCGCGAGAACAGGTCGTTGAGCGTGCGCACCAAGTCTTGAGCGGACAGCTGTTCCGAAAGTGGCGTGAAGTTGACAATGTCGGCGTACAGCAGCGACACGTTGTTGTGGCGCTGGACGTAGAGCTCGTGGAAGGAGGAGGCGCTGTGGGCGGAGTCTGTCATGCGGCGCAGAATGCGCGTGCGCACCTCGGCGGCCAGGTACGCGGGGATGACCGACAGCAAGAGCTGCTCCTGCTGCTCCCGCTCGAGCTCCAAGTGGATGCGCTCTTCTATCAAGTGCTTTGCGCCCAAAAACGTCGCTTTCGTCTCTTTTTCCGAAATCCTTCTTTCGTTGAGCGAAAAGCCGAGAAACAGCAGCAGAAGAATGACGTCACACGACAGCTGTTCGGGAGAGCGAGCGGACAATGATTGGTGGAAAGGATTCAAATACTCACGAATTGCGTCTCGAGCTGCGAGTTGGCGTCGAGGCGCGCGAACACGACGATGGAAACGATGAGTTGCGCGAAGAAGACCGAGAGTTGGAGCGAAAGCGTCGTCTTGATCCGAAGCGGAATCATTGTCTGCGCGACGAAGATGGCGAACAGCGACCAGAAGGGCGTGAGCGCGTGGCGCGACTGGAGGAGGCGTGCCAGGTCCAGACCAGTGGCCACGACGGCCACAGCGGTGGACAACAGCCACGAGAGGATGGCGGCGAAGGAGAAGAGCGCGTCGGAGAGGAGATGAGGGGGGAGGTGGAGGAGCAGCAGGAGGAGCGCTAACAGAGTGGAGGCGACGGCGAGCGGGAGATGGAAGGCGCGCAGGAAGAGGAAGTAGAGGAAGGAGTAGAGGAGAGAGATGCAGAGCACGGACTTGAGGAGCGAGAGTCGTTGGCAGCGCTGGTAGCGGCGTTGCAGCAGCGCCAGGTCCTCCTCCTCCTCTGCACCCTGGTGTTCCCACTTTTTAATTAATTTCATGCAAGACTTCATTAATTGGAAGCAATAAATCGAGAAACAGGTTTGGGGGCGGAAGGGGGGACTCACCGCGTCGTCCGCCTGTCGTGCGTCTGTCGTCGTGTCGTTCATCGCGTCGTCTCTCAAACACTTCTGACGAGAGTTTGGATCTCGAGATCTTCTCTTCACTCTTCGAATGACGTCTCAATCGATCCCTTGGCGCTCATTGGCTAATCACTGATCAGCACTTCTTCCCAATTATTGCCGGGGGAGCGCCTATTGGGGCGGGGGTGGGGAGTGGAGTGGAGGCGCGCGCAGACAGCGCTCCCCCGGCAATTGACCCAAATGTTAGAATAAATATTTATTTAAAGAGAATTCTTGTTTTATTTCAAAATTAATCCAATTTTAATCCATTTGTGACGCCTTTAGGCAAAAAACGAGTTCTTTTGAGAAAAATCCTCAAAAAAGCGTAAAAAGAGACGAAAAAGAGAAAACTTTTCGTAATTTGAGTCAAAATCCAAAGTCTGTGAAAATAATGAAGGATTAGAGAGAGAATCGCGAGCAAAACAATACCTTCTGAGCTTAAGCCGCGCCGCCGGCAAAGTGTCGCTCTTCTCGCGCAACAAATGCTCGCGAATGCCGAGAATGTAGTCCTCGAAGTAGCGCTTCCACTGCACGCGCCGCACGTCGCAGGGGAAGAGTTGGGCGTCGCGCGGGGAAAGCGAGTCCGCGAGACGGCGCTGTTGTTCGCATCGAAAGCGCCACTCATTGCACGTGAAGTATTGGAGAGCGGAAACGCTTTTGTTCACCTTTTGGTACACTTTTCCCAAACTATAGAAAAGAGAGAGAAGTTTGAATTTGTGTTCGCGGCTGTGATTGGCTCACATGGGTTGGAGACCGCACGCGCGGAACAGCAGGTCGACGACGAGAGCGGGGATTCGGTGTTCGAGGAAGAGATGGAAGGAATGGAGGAAAGCGTGGGAATGGAAGGAAACGCCGGGAAAACGGAACAACTCTTGCGAGGGGTGGCGCACGAGCAGCGGTTCGGAGATGGCCTTGATCTCGGACCACGTGATCGGGTTCAGCGCTCCCGACACGCAGTTCACTACCAGAGGCCACTCGGCGGGCGGGCGAGTGGTCACGTGATAGGCGCTGGCCAAACACGTGTTCACCACGATGTCCACGGGGATGATGTCGCAGAGTTTGCGCGGGTGCGCGTGGAGGGTGCGCAGAACGCCTTTCCCCGCGGCCACCAAATAACCAGAGAGGCCGTTGTAGTTGTCGACCCAACCGGCAGAGGGCTCTCTCCACGCCGCGCAGATGATTGAGGGGCGCACTATCGCGAGCGGCATCTGGCGGGCGGACGCGAGAAACACGTTCTCCGCCAGCGCTTTCGTGAAGTGATAGGAAGACATTCTTTGGCCGAAGAACTGCTTCCGAACCGACGCCTCGAACACAGACTCGTCCAGCCATCTGTCGGAGAGAGCACGTGATTAGTGACGTCATTATTGCGGCGATCCGTACTCGGCAGCGCTCAACAGCTGATCCAAAGACACGCCCTCTTTGTCGACGCTTTCGGTGACGTCATCGCGATCTCGAGTGCAATAAGCGGTCGACACGTGAACCAAAGCGTCGATTCGCGCCAAACTCTCGACCAATCGGAGCACGCGTTGCGCGGAGAGCACGTTCAGTTGCAGCGCGCGTCTGGAATGGAGCGGTCAGTGAGTGGTCAGCAGTAATAGCAGTAATACCTGAGCGGTTCGTCGAAGCGTATGGTTGCGGCGCAGTTGAACACAATGGACACGGAGTCGCGGATCACGTGACGGTCCATCGGGTTCAACCCCAACTCGTCGAGCGTGACGTCACCGCAGACGGCGATCACGCGCTCCAGAGTGGACGCATTTGTGGCGCGAATCGAGTCGAAGATGGGATTCGCGAGCAATTCCTTCAATCGCTTTTCCACCGTTTGTCCGCTTTTCGGCCGCAGAAGCAAATACACGGCTTTCACGTGCGGACACTCGCGGAGGATCTTCTCGAGCAGACATTTGCCCACAAATCCCGTTCCGCCGGTAATGAGGAGACTTTTGTCGGCCAGAAATTGACACAAATCCGAAGACATGTTTGTTTTGGGATTTTTTAAACTCAAAACCGGTTTTAAAAGTCTCACAAAAAGTACGAAAAAACAATTAAACGTTTATTTCTCTAAACAATAGGTATTTGTTGGGGTTTTTCCAGTTCGGGGAATTCGCCCACCTCCTCGCCGTAATACGACATGCGCTTCCAGTGCATCAGGTTGAACTCCCACTTCTCCTCAATGGTTGTCAAGGCGACGCCCAACTCCTCGATCGACTTCACGCCTTTAGTCCTGATGTCCGAAATCGCCTCCTGAGAGAGATCACGTGTTAAAGTTTAATCCCGACCCGAGCCCACACTCACGCGCTCCAGCTTCTCGAACGACACGTGCGGATACTTGTGCAGCCACTGCGGATGCGACATCAGCCACACGCGCACCAGAAACAATGGCGCCCACCGCATGTTCGACACGTGGAAGCCGTCTTCGGGCGTCTTCTGGATGATGCGCTGCAAGTAGTCCACGAGAGCGCGCATTGTGTAGCGCCGGGGACTGCGGAATAGAAATCCCATTCAGAGGTCGTTCACCCCGAGGTCACTCACCCGAACGCCTCGTACGTCTGTCCGGGCGCCTCGTCGTCGGTCAGGGCGTTGACGAGCGCCTGCGCGACGTCCGACACGTACACGGGCTGCTTCTGCGTCTGGAAGCCGCCATTAATTAGGGGCACGCGCCACAGCATGCGTCGCTGCCACGAGCAGAAGTTCTGCGACCAGTTGTCGTCCATTCCGTGCACGTCCGTCGGCCTGATTATTGTGGCCATCGGGAACTCCTCGCGCACCGCCTTCTCGCCCGCGCGCTTCGACCGCAGCCATTGGCTCCCTTTCCACAACAGCTGCGGCTCGAGTTCGCGCTCCACGTTGGCCGCAGACACGTGCACGACGCGCTGCACGCCGGCCTCGCGCGCCATTCGGGCGATGAGTCGCGCGCCCTCTTCGTGGACATCGCGGAAGCGGAAGTTATTGGTCTCGGAGTCTTTGCCGATGAGGTTGACGACGGCTGCGGAGAGAGAGCGTGAGAGACGTCATGTTTTCATTGTTGACAAACCGTTGGAATATTTGACGCAATTGTAAACGCTTTCCGCGTCCTTCAGATGGAAGTGCTGTCAGAGGGAGACAATGGTCAGTGTCTTAAGGGTCACGTGACTCTATGTAATCACCCGGAAGAGGATCTGTCCCAAATCGCCGCAAGTCTTCAGATGAAAGCATTCGTAGAAATCGCCTCTGAAAGGGATAATCACTTGGGATCCGCTCTTCGCCAACTTATTGATGACATAGCGGCCCAAAAAGCCTCCGCCGCCGAACACAGTCACGACCTGTCCGTTGAAAGAGGAGCGGCCGCCGGACCCGCGCTTCACCGCTTTGGCCGCGACGTCGGGAAACGCTTTCGGCTGAAGAGCGGCCGAATTGGTCGCAAAACGCTTCCAATTCTGAATCAAATTCACGTTTGTTTTCATCTCTTTTGACCTCTAATTACGTCACGAAAACAACACGTCATTTATGGACAGCTTTTGGCGCGAAATTCAAAACAATTTGAGAAAAGTTTTTGAGATTTCGAGAAATAATCAGTTTTTTATTAAACGTTAAAATTGTTGTCAAAAAGAAAATGAATTCAAGTTTTGATTAAAAAAAAGTTGAAACCAAAGATTCATTGAATAAAAAACGCATTTTTAGTCAATATTTCTAAAGCGATAAAAGTTTTGCAAATTATTCTTAAATTCCAAATATTTTCAACTTTCGGTTCTTTTATTCAAAACTTTTGTAATTATTTCCAAAACATGAGTAAAAGTTTATCATTCACTGGAAATGACCTGAAGTGACCCCAAATGACCATGAGCACTTCTATGAGCACTTATTGATCACTTTTGGACCAAAACACACATTAAAGCACAAGTGATGGCAATCTTATCCGAATCTCAACTTGTGTTTCCACGCGAGCCCTGATTGGCTCTCAAAGTGACCTTCGCTTCCCAACGACCTTCACGTCGCTATTTATGGCAAAAGTTTTCCAAAAATCTCTTCATTCGAAAGAAACGCCAAAAATGGGTAAAAATTGTGAAAAACTTTTCTAAATTTAAATTTAATTCTCTTTTAGAAATAAACGCCAAAAAGACGGGAAAACTGTTGATCGAAGGGAAGACGAAACAAGTGTTCGAATTGGACGCGAATCTCGTGCTCATCCGCTCCAAAGACCGCATCACAGCCGGCGATGGCCTGAAGAGCCACGAGATGAAGGGAAAGGCGGTGCTCTCCACCCAAACCAACGCCGCCCTCTTCGAGTTCCTCAACTCGGTGGGAATCTCCACTCATTACGTGTCGCGCGTCGCCAATAGCAACGCCGACCACGAGTTCTCGTTCGTGGCGAAGAAGTGCGCCATGATTCCCATCGAGTGGGTGTCGCGGCGCGTGGCCACCGGCTCCTTCCTCAAGCGCCACCCCAACGTCCAGGAAGGTCAGTATGTTATGGGGTCAAAGGTCACACACTCTAACCTCCAACTCGCAGGTCACCGCTTCTCGCCGCCCAAACTCGAGACGTTCTTCAAGGACGACGCCAATCACGACCCCTTCTGGTCACGTGAGAGTCTGGTCGCCGCCAAACTCGAACTCAACGGTCTTCTCATCGACGAGTCACGTGTGCAGCAGATGTTCGACACGACGCGCGCCGTCTTCGAGATCCTCCTCGCGCACACCGTTTGCCGCCTAGTGCGCGAGTAGCTGTACTTCTAGCTCAAGCCGCAGTAGCTGCTGTTGCCGCAGTTTCTCTAGCAGCAGCGGCTGCAGTAGCTGTTGCTGAGCACCGCAGACAGGCCGCAGGGAGACAAGAAGCTCATGCTCGACAAACAGGTAATGAGTGACCACTCGCTGACCAATGAGTGACCGCTGCTTCAGATCTACAGAAACCTGGACGCGAAGGACATCGACGAGAAGGCCATCTCTCTGGTGAAGGAGAAGTTCGAAGTGGTCGCTCAGCGCACGCGCACACTCTTCTCTCAAGTCATCCGCGACCCGAACCTCAGGTCGACGCCAGAGGTCGCGCTGATGTTGGGCTCGCAAAGCGATCGCAAACACGCCGACGCCATCGTGACGTCACTGCACAAGTACGGCGTCCACGACGTCGCGGTCGTCGTCTCGTCGGCGCACAGGACGACGCAAAACACTTTGGACGCGTTGGCCAAACTCCAACAATGGCCGTCTCTGCGCGCCATCGTGGCGGTCGCCGGCCTCTCCAACGGCCTGGGTCCGGTGCTGGGCGGCAACGCGTGCGTCCCCGTCATCAACTGTCCGCCCGTGTCGTCGGCGGACGCCCTCTCGCTCGACGTGTGGTCGTCCATAAGGATGCCGCCGGGCATCGCGTGCTCGACGCTGATTGGCGCGGAGAACGCGGCTCTGGCCGCCGCCCTCATCGTGGGCACGCACTCGCCGTGGGTGTGGTCTCGCGTTCGCGCGCAACAATTGAATACTTTGACAAAGATTTTGCTTTTGAATTAAATTTATTCCTGAAACTGATTCGAGCTGTGATTGGCTCCCGTGATGATGACGTCGATCCAGATGCGCATCACTTCCGGCCGGAACGACGACAACACGAAAGCGCGCGAATCGCACACAACTGTGAACACGAAGCGCGAGCTCTTGATTCGCGAGTGATTCACGAAAACGTCGCGAATCTCGTCGAAAGCGACGCCTGGCGGAGGGAAGGGAGTTAGCGTTGCATTCAGAGTCACGTGACTCACCTCTGGGTTTTCGGTTTCGCTTGAAATCGGTTTTGGACGTGAAATACGCCAACAATTGGTTCTCGCGGTCGAACACGAAGAACCGCTTTCTCCACTTGTTGTCTGAGTTTTGGCACAATTTATAGAGACTTCCGGAACACGAATTCCCCGAAACCGCGACTTCCGGTCTTTGACTCAAATCGTGTCCCAAATCGCGGATTCTTTGCGTCAAATCCAGCTCTTTGTCCGCAATCGGCAAATACAGCGTCAGAGGGCGTCTCTGCCAGCGCTCGCGTCGTCGCCTGTCGTCCGCGTCGTCCTCCTTGTCGTCGAAGCTCTCGGCGTCGGCCAACGGCGCGCTCGACAGGCGTTTCCTTTTCCTCTTCTCTTCGCTCTTGTCGTGGATCTGCTTCTTCACGCTCTGCAAACACTTCTCGAGTTCCGCGACTTTGATCTCGCGCTCGATCTTCTGGAACTCCTTGAGGTCGTCGTCGTCGTCGTCCGCGTCGTCGGCGTCGGTCGACAAATACGTCAATTCCGCGGAAACGAGTTTCTCCTCCAGAAGCAAGTCGTCTAACGTCTCGCAACTGCTGTCGTCTCTCTTGTCGTCCGCGTTGTCGTCGCTGTCGTCGCGTGTCGTCGACTCGATTGTCGACAAATCGGACAATTCTGACGATCGGTTCCAACAGTCTTCGCGAGAGTTGAGGCCATTGTTGTTGAAGAAGTCGCACAACAATGCGATCTCTTTGAGTCTCGCGCTCTCTCGACGGCATTCCTCCTGAGCGGCGATTCGGGCGCTCTTTACTGACGACAACTCCGACGACAAGTCGTGCAGAAGTGTCGTCGAAGACGTCATTGTCTTTGGGTTTGGTTTTGAGTATTATTTGTAAACAAACGCCTGAAAGACGTCGCGAGACGTACTCTCTGTATGTTTGGGGCGTTTCTATGACAACAGATGTCAGCTTTGATTGAATTGAAGACAAAATGAATGAAAAAATAGAGAATTTTTGGCAAAAAAGTCGAAAAATAAATGAATTTTTTGGGAATTTTTCGAATATTTGCGAAGAAATGGAATTTTTGGACATTTTTTGCGAATAAAAGAGTTTTCGAAATGAAGAATGAATTCAAAGAATAATTTCGACAAAAAGTCAAACAATTTGGAGAAAAAAGACGAAAATCGAGAGAAAAAGAGCGAATAAAGCCTGTAAAGACGGCTGTTATCCTCTCGCGCTCTGCTGATAGCGCTGCTGCTCTACGCTGCGCAAATGTAGGCGCGCGGAGTCTTGTCTGTGCACCGGCTGTAGCTGTTCTCCACTGGTGGCGCGCCACTAATGGCCACCACCGCCGCGACCGCCGCCACCGCCACAACACCCGCGGCCACCGCCGCCCCCACTGCCGACGGGGGCGCCTCCGCCACAGCGCGCGCCGAAACGCGTTTTTCATTTTTGTAATTAGCGTTAAATGAATTGTAAATAAATGCAAATATTCGCCAAAAGCGGACGTAATTGCTGTGCGAGTCGTGACGTGTCGTCGCTTTCAAAATGTCTGTCAAAACAGAGAATCCGTTGTTTTGAGAATGGATTCAATGCTCGCGAATCCGGACACGACTCCGGCCGCGTCGGTGTCGCTCGCGTGCTGTCAATCGCTGTGCGATCTGCTGAAGGAGTTGCCGCTCCCGCAGCCGCTGCTCTCCGTCTCCGACCAGTGCTTGAGTGCGCGCAACAACAATGTCTGTCACAACCTCTCGCTTCTGGACTCACAGCTCGAGAGCGCGCTCTTCGACGCCAAACACCAATTGGCGGAACTCGTGTTCAACGACGCCGTCGTCGCGAGCGTCGTGTCGGTGACGCCTCTGTCGCCACTCGCGACGCAGCTGTCGCTGAAGGGACTGTTCTTCGGCGTCCAAAACAACTGTTGGCCACAACTCGAGACCTCTTTGGAGACAATCGAGCCGTCGATCAGAACTCAATTGGAATTAACGGAGAATTTGAAACTCATTAACTGTCGCTGAAGGGACTGTTCTTCGGCGTCCAAAACAACTGTTGGCCACAACTCGAGACCTCTTTGGAGACAATCGAGCCGTCGATCAGAACTCAATTGGAATTAACGGAGAATTTGAAACTCATTAACGAATTGCAGAACGACTGCAACGACGCCGACGGCAAGTACTTCCACAACAATGAGGACGACTCGTACTCGTCGTTAGGCGAGAGAGTGAAGAGTCGTCAGCGACAACACGCGTCGTCCGCGCAGTCGCCGCTCATGCCGTCGGTTGTCGTCTCTCCGGAACCGCCGCCAGTGGTGGAGCCGCCGCCCGCGCGACCCGAACGGCCGCCGAAGACCAAAGCGGACAAAACGCCAACAAAAAGCCATAATTCGCACAAAAGTCGAAACCATTCGACGAATAGTAACAATAAATACGAATCGAAAGACATTTCTCTGGATCTGCAAAACAAAGACAGTTTAGTGTCGTTTGAATACATCATAAACAAAGTGATGAGTGATTGTGTGGACGACACCGACGACGACGACGACGACAACTCCGACGACGATCGCGACGTCAGGAACGACCGCAAGAACGACATGTCGTTCGATCTGCGCATAGATCTGAAAGAGTTGAACGCTTTGATGTCGTTGTCGTCCAAACTGAAGCACTCGAACCGCATGAACGACTTGGAGCACAAGCTGTCGTCCAAGTTGTCGTCCTTTCTGTCGCTCCTGACCAACAAAATGACGGTTTGGTTCTCGAAGTTCAAAGAGACGGAAGAGCTGACGACAAGTGACGACACGTACCAGTCGTCGGACGACAACCACTTCTGGCAACTGCTCATCAACGCGTCCAAAATGTCGCTCAACATCATGACCTCGAAGGGCATGTCTTCGCGCGTCGTGCTCTTCGAGGAGTTGTTGGAAATCATAATCAACTTCTTGTCTCACAATCTCAACTCGAAAACACACGTGACGTCGAAGTCGCCCTCCAAGTCGAAGAAGGCGTCGTCGGTGACGACCACTGTGGCGACCAAACGCCAAGTGACGCACTGGACGGAACTGCTGGAGCTGTTGTGCGAATACCTGCAGCGCAACCAATCGCTCAACGACTCCATCGTCCTCATGTGCACGCGCATCGCCATGAACTCGCTGTTCCTCAACTCGACGGAAATGCAATTCATTTCGACTCCCATTTTGGCGCAAATCTTCGCGCAATACCCGAAACACCGCGCGTCCATTCTGGAGGAGTTGTTGCAACAGTTCCACCGCATTCCCGTCCAGAAACACCACCAGAAGCACGGGATGAACGCCTTCACGCGCCTCCTCATCCAACTCACGAACGCGCTGTTCACGTGCGGAGTGGACGCGCGCACGCGCATCACGCGCGACGTTCTGGCCAAACAGCTGACGGAATGCATGCAAATCATGGCCGGCTTCCTCTCATCCCTCACGAGGCGTTGTCTCTGCGCAGACGCGGACGCCAAGCAGTTCTTTTGGGAACTGATTCAGGATTTGCTGCAAAATATTTATTCCCCGCAAAACATCACCGCTCTCCTATTGGTCCAAATCCTCACCAAACTCCTCATCACGTGTTTGACGCAGAACTCAAAGTCCACGCAATTGGCGCAACGCCTGAATGCCATCGAATTCTTGGCCGAAATCTGTTCCACTTTCGCGCGCTTCTTCGCCCAGAAGGAGCAACTCATTGAAGAGAGCGACAAAACGCTGCGCCAACTGTTGGGACGCGACGACGACGCGAGTGACGACAGCGACGACGACAAGACGCGACAGATGTTGAAACTGTTGAACGAATTCATGAATTGTGAGAAACTTTAGAAGAGAGCGACAAAACGCTGCGCCAACTGTTGGGACGCGACGACGACGCGAGTGACGACAGCGACGACGACAAGACGCGACAGATGTTGAAACTGTTGAACGAATTCATGAATTGTGAGAAACTTTTGGCCGAAAAGTGGATTTTGAGTTCTCTTTGGATGAAAGAAAAGCGAATCCAAGAAATAACAGCGACGATGACAAGACGCGACAGATGTTGAAACTGTTGAACGAATTCATGAATTGTGAGAAACTTTTGGCCGAAAAGTGGATTTTGAGTTCTCTTTGGATGAAAGAAAAGCGAATCCAAGAAATCGAAACCCAATTCCTCGCCATTTTGAACGCCAAGTTCGCGGAGAGCGAGACCGAGATCGACGTCACGATCGCCGAACTCTTCATCAAGTGTCTCGAGATCTCGCAATTCCAGACCATTTCGCGCCTCTTCGACGCCTCCCTCTCCCACGTGACCTCCTCGCTCTCGCTCACCTCCAACACGACGCAGCGGTCGCGCGCCATGAAGTCGTTGTCGCAGATTCTGGTCAACTGTTCGCTGGAGAAGTCGACGCAACTGTTGGCGCGCTCCGACCTCCAGATGGCGATGCGGTCGGCGCTGCTGGACGCGTCCACTTCGGTGCGCGAGGCCACAGTGGACCTGATTGGCCGCTTCGTCCTCCAATCCAAGTCCATGGAGTTGTGCGACAAGTACTGCGACCTGATTGGCGAACGCATTCTCGACACCGGCGTCTCTGTGCGCAAGCGCGTCATCAAGATCCTGAGGGACATCTGCATCGCGTTCCCCGAGTTCGCGAAGTGCGGCGAACTGCAGCTCAAGGTCATAAAGCGCGTGAACGACGAGGGCGAGGGCATCAGGAAGCTCGTGCTCGAGACTGTGCGCGACCTGTGGTTCCGGTCGCTGAACGACACGACGACGACGACGAGCGACGCCCAGACCGTCGTGTCGCACAAAGTGATGTCGTTGTTGCACGTGATTTCCGTGATGTTGCAAAACGACGGTTCGATCGACTCTTTGCACCAATTGATAGAACAGATCGTCAAAAACGACTGCGAATTGTCGTCCGCGCAGACAATCGTCGACTTCGTGGTGGCGCGCGTGCTCACCGCAGCGGAACCGCCGCCCACGCACGGCGCGGCCAACCGCGCGCTCATCAACCTGGCCGCCATCCACCTCGTGGCCATCTTCGCGCGCATTTCGCCCCAAATTCTGGTCAAACACTGCGACTCTCTGCAGTCGCTGCTCTCGCTCTCGTGCGACACCATTGTTGACATCCATCTGCGCAACAAACTCATCCAATCGCTGGAACGCATTCTGCAGCGCGTTTCCCATCCCTCGCAACAGCTGATGACGCGTCTGGAGGAAGACCTCACCAAACAGATCCTGCAGTCCTCCGCGCTCATCCTGCCCTCTAGCGTCAAGTGTCTCGCCGTCGTCATCGCCTTTCACACCAAGAACTTCAAACTCTCCACAGATCTGTTCCACAAGTTCAAGCAATACATGCTGGCGTCACGTGACCCGCAGAACAAGCCCCGCCTCCTGCGCTCCATCTACTCGCTCGGCCTCTTCGTCAAGCACTTCGCCAAACACTTCGACAGCCAATCAAAGCAACTCATTCTCGACCACATCCTCGCGCTCATCCAATCACAGGTGGACGACGGCCTCAGCGACAGTGACGTCATCGTGCGCTGCGTGACGTCACTCGGCTTCATCATCGAATCGGATCCCAAGATCTGTTTGCAGCGCCGCGTCATTGAACTCTACCTGCGGCTGCTGGCGGAGGGCGCGGGCGACTGCTTCTGCGCACAAGTGCTCACGAACTTCCGCAACTACCTGAACGAGTCGCTGGACGAGGACGAGCGCGTCAACAAAGCCATCGAGTGGTCACGTGAGTCCCTCAAGACCATGACGTCGGAGGACTGCGACTCCAACTCGACGCAGTCGCAGATCATCCAGACCTACTTGACGCCCATTCTCGACAAGTCCATCTCCGCGTCTGCGCACATCCGCCGCGTGGCCTGCAACGTCGTGCACGTGATCCACTCGGGCGGTCACGTGCATCCGCTCCAACTCGTGCCGCACCTCATCGCCATGACGACGGACGACGACCGCGACATCCGGTCGCGCGCCGACCACGTGCTGCACGAGATCGAGCGCAAGTTCCACGGCTTCGTGGCGATGAAGGCGCGCGCCGGCATTCTTCTGGCCACAGAGTTGTGCGCGAGAGTCAAGTGTCGCGGTTATCGCCTCCTCGACGACAACTCGGGAGACGTGACGTCACGGTTGGCCACTTTGTATCACGTGGTCTGCACTAACCGCCAATCGAGACGCGGATTCGTTCAGCAATTGTTGCGTAACTTTGAGGTGACGTCGAGTCCGACGACGACCACTGACGACACTGCGGTCTACGAGTCGTCCGCAACGACAGAGACGACACACGACGACCAGAGCACGACTTCGGACGACCAGAGCATTCAATTGGTGTTCGAAATGCTGCTCTTCTTCCCGTTCACGGTTTGCGACGAAATTATGTATATTTTGCAACAATTGGAATGCATTCAAAGCGTGAACTCAACGCATACTTCGCAACTCTTCACCGAATTGTTCGGTTTCGAGTCCGAGGAACAAATGGACGACAAGTTTGACGACAATTACGACACGTTTGCCAACGATTTGCGCGAAAACGAGACGACAATCGTTTGCAGACAACAAGTGCTGAAACAGATCCAAAGAAGTCTTCGGCGCGTGTTTTTGGTTTCGATTTTGCGAAAACTGTTGAAAGAATTCTATTTAATAAAAGACGAGAAGATTTTGGAATATTCGCCGAACGAACCAAAAGTGTGGGAAAAACCCATTCACAGGCGACAGGTATTATCATGTGATTGCATTTGTGTTCCCATTGTTGACCTTTGGTTCGCATTTAGATCGAGAGTTCAAACCTGTGCGAAACGCTTTCCTTAGCGAGTCCTGCGCTGGGCGTCGAGCCGAAGATCGACGACCTGTTGGAAGAGTTGAAACGCTTCAAATCCGTGTCGTTGACCTCCAATGACCCCAATATCTCGAACGCGCTCATCAACCAGAAACTGTTCCAAATCAAGAAACGCGTCGAAAGCCAATCAAAAGCGTTCACAATCGAAGCCAATCACAGAACGACGCAAATGGACGACGAGTTGAACGAAAGCGAGAGAAAGCGATTGTTGGACTCGATTCGCAAGACGTCGTGTCACGTGAAGCTCATCGACATCTCGTTGACGCCACAGACGACCGCAGCGACGACGGAGCGCACGGAGAGCGTCGCCAAACGGAAGGATAGGAAAAGTCCCAAAAAAGAGAAGCGAAAGAGGATTCGCGTGGAAGACGACACGAGTGACGACCAGACGACGGACGACGACAACCACTACGACAGAGACGACACCGACGACGACGACAGACATTAATGCATTATTAGACAACATTTTGTACAAAAACTCGTAAAATATTTGTAAAAATTAAATTATTAATTAATTATAACTTTATTTCAAATAAAAGTTTTTAATTTTATTATTTTTATTTACAATTATTGCTATTGAAAACTACTGGAAGTTCGTCTCAGAGTTCGTTGACCCCAAATGGGAGGAATGACCCAAAAGTGGAGACAATTGTTGTCCGAATTGCGAGTTATAGAGACCTTCAATAAAAAGCGTTAGAATCGCGAAAAACGCGTCAAAAACTCACTTTCGAGAAGTTGTGACGAAAAGTGCGGCGATTGTTGCGATTGTTGCTGAGGTCGCCATTGTTGCGGCGGCTGCTGTCCACTCGACTGCTGGAACTGTTGGAATTGCGGGAATTGCGGCCGAATGGCCGACGCGTACGGCGTGTTTGAGGCGGACTGGAAAGTGTCCTTTTGGTCGGCGTTTCCGATCAGAGAGTTGACCACAGATCCCAAGCCGGCGCCCAATTGGAAGCCATTCGGAATCAATTGCCCCAAAGGGCCGCCGATCTTAATGCGCGGGTATTGTTGGGAATTGTGCGGCGATTGCGGCGCGAAGGACGGGAACTGGAGCTGAGCGGCGCAGAGCGCGACGCAAAGGGCGAGCAGAAGAGCGGCGGTTTTGGCGAACATTTTGAATGACTTTGAGTTCGAATTCAAGGCTTTTATAGTTTATAAAAGTTTCCGAATTTGGAACACATTTTGACCCAAATTTCTATAAAAAGATTTCTATTTTCAATGTCTATAAGAAAAGTAAACCAAAAGTTCAAAAACTTTCCGCGAATCGCGCCCTCTGTTGGCTGTGAGGGGAACACACACTGAGGCGGACATCCCCTGCACTGAGGAAATGAGCGCTTCCTCCGAATGAGTCATTCGTTGAAAAGTTTTGTTCAAAAGCTGTCAAACAGTCAAAAGGTGTGGTTTTCATTGCTTTCATTGTTCTCTCGCTCTCAACAGAACAGAACTTTCCAAAACATGTCTTCGCCGAAGGATTTGCCGAAACCGCTGACCAACCCGTTGGCCGCCGAACTCACGGCCGAACACCAGCTGAAGAAGACGCAGACGGAGGAGAAAGTGGTGCTGCCGTCGGCCGAAGAGATCGCGAGCGAGAAGTCGCAGCAGCGGCTCTTCCAGTCGATCGAGGCGTTCGACGAGAAGTGTCTGAAGAAACAGGAAACTGTGGAGAAACAGGTGTTGCCGACGGCTGAAGACATAAAGGCGGAGAAACCTTTGATTTAATTCTATTATTATTTACATTAAGTCTAATAAAGAGATTAATTTCGTGAGAATTGAGTCAAGTTTTGTCCGACAGGCGGCGCAGCGGTCGTCGACTCGACGTACAGCTCGTCGTTGCGCTTGTAATGCGTTTCGGACGACAAGCAGTCGACTGTATTGACGAAACGACACGTGAAGGTCGTCTGGTCGAAGAGCGTGAAGTTGGGGCACAGGAAGTCGTAGCGCTGATGACCACTGGCGCAGTGGTGGTACACTTGGCAGCGCAGCGCGATGTCCGCGTAGTAGCCGTCGTGACGACCGGTGCAGTCGAACTTCGACTCCGGGATCGACACGAAGAACGGGTATTCCGTGAGATCCGCGCTCTTCAGCTCGTACGGGAAGTTCGGGTCCGCCGAGTAGTCGATCACTCGGCCGTCGGCGCGCGGCTTGTAGTTCGGCGACAGAGTCGTGGTTGTGGTCGTTGTGGTCGGAGGCGTCGTCTGCGGCGGTCGTCGGAAGCGTCTTCTGCCGCGTCGTCGCTTCGGCGCCAGAGTTGTCGTCGTAGTGGTCGTCGATGTCGTCAAGTGGTAGTCGTCGACGTATTCGTCGTCGTAATAGTCGTCGTATTCTGTCGTCAAGAATGACGTCATCACCAGTTGTCAAATACTGTCAAAAACTCATACCGTAATAGTCTTCGGGCGACGCCGTTGTGGTCGTCGTCGTCGTCGTCGAGGTTGTCGTCGTCGACGTCTGTTGTCTGTGACGTCTGCGTCCGCGTTCGCGGTATCGGTTAGTGTTGGTGACAGCCATCGGCCGCGAAGACGACGACGAGTCGGAACGGCTCTCGAGAAGCGACTCTCCGTCCAACAGATGGTCTGACGGGCGGAATGCGTGTCCTCTAAAAAAGCAAAAGTTTCGGTGACGTCACTAACACACAGATACTGACCTCTGGTGGAGAGGAGACGCGTTGGCCGAAGAACTGTTGCGAAGACGAAAGACCATTCCTCCTCCACTGCGGAGTTGCGGCGTTCGCTGCGAGTGGAAGCGTTCGCCGCACTGACCCGCGCGCTGACCACTGCATACGTCGTCGGCAAAAGATGACCAATAAATGGAGCAAAAAGTGATGAAAACTGCGGACAAAGAGACGTTAGCCGAGAGTGACGTCATTCTCTCCGATACTCACAACACGTGATTGTGATTGAAATCATGTCTCAGACGACAGAAGAATGAGTTTTGACCCAAATTTGAAAGAAGAAGACATAAATGACGTCACAATTGAAACAACAATTAATTGCTAACGTTTTTCTTTCCTAACAATTAACTAAAAATAGTGATGACTTCGCGTCCGGAGCCGCGCGCCAACAACACGCGCTCCAGCCCTTCGGTCAGCACTTCCACGAACTCCATGAAGTTGGTCTCTGAGCCGGAAGTCATCTTGCGCGCGATTCCCGGCATGTTCACGATCACCAACTTGGACGAGTGGCTCTTCTGCAGGATGTGCTCGTTCAGCCGCACCGCCGTGTGCCTGAGGGGAGAGTAACAGTGGTGACCAGTGGTCAGCAGTACAATTGCTTACATGCGGCGGACGTTGAGCTCGTCGGGCTTGAGGTCGTTCTGCGAGGCGATGGTTTGCAACTCGTTGCCGGCGATCGTCTGCAGAACTTGCGTCCTCTGCTCCATCAGGATCGTGCGCTCGTAGGTGTACGCCGACACGTCTGCAAAAACAGGGGTCAGTGACCTGTGAGTGGGAGTGAATGGACGCACCCGAGTCGGACATCTCGATGACCTCGACGGTGGCCTCGATGCGCAGGTGGTAGAGGAACTTCTCCAGGTCCTTCTTCATCTGCACCGAGTTGTCCTCCAGCTGCGCCACCGTGAACACGCGCAGCGCGCACGAGCGCCACGTGCGGTGTTGCGACAGCACGTACGCCAGCAGGATGAGCTGCGGAGAGAGAGGGGTTAGAGTGACCACTACTGACCGGCACTGACCAGTCCGCCGTCGTGCACGATCCACCAGATGTCGATGTTGCCGCCGAGGCGGTCGTTGTTCTCCGGCCACTGCTGCAGCCCTTTGGCCACCACGAGCGCCGCGTTGGCCGCCGTCACGGAGCGCACCAGGTGGAGGAAGCGGTTGTGTTTGTCGCGCGACGTGGAGTGGCGCCACTTGTGCGGCCAGGCGACCATCACGGTGTTGTGCTTCAGGCCGCCCAATCCCGCCGTCTGCACGCAATGCGAGAGTCCCGCCGTGACGTCACGCGACACCACCACTTCCGCGAAGCCCTTCACGCGCTCTCTGTCCATGTGGTGGCGCAGCGATTGGCGCGCGGTTTGCGCCAAACCCGCGTCCGTCTCGAAGTGTCCCTCCAGAACGGAGGACACGAGAGTGAGGCCTTTGCCCGCTTTGAGCTGCGACGCGATGGTCAGCAGTTTCGGCGACTTCACGTCCAGAGAGTCGCCGTTGAGCTTCACGAGACACAGGAGTTGCGGGCGCCAGTTCTTGGTGTGCGGCGGCCCCTCCTCCAAACGGAGCAAAGAGAAGCGCGCGGCCGACAGCGCGAGACCGCGGATGCCGTCGCCCCACTCCTTCTCGGCGCCCCTGTACTCGATGTACTTGTAGATGAAGGCGGCCAACGCCATCGCGCACAGCGTGTACACCCAGGAGGACAGCAGCATCACTAATAAGCAGAGAAAGATGCCCACCAGAGAGATTGACCAGTGGAAGTAGCGGAAGCGCGGGCGCCACGAGGGGGAGCGCAGGAGCGACTGCACGGTGCACGCGAGGTTCAGAAACATGTAACACATGAGAAAGAACATGGTGAGGATCGGCGCGATGAAGTCCAGGTTCCCGATCACTAGAGGGAGACAGTGGTCAGCGCGGGTCAGTTTGGGAGTGCACTCACAGATGGCGCACTCGGCGATGACGAGGGACACGCAGATGGCCTTGACGGGTTCGCCGCGCTTGTTGACGTAATCGACCTTGTCCAGGAACGGAATGATGCCGTCCTTCGCGATGGCCTGCAAGAGTCGCGGCGCGCCAATCAGCGACTGAAGCGCCGCCCCGAACGTCGAGAGCAGAGCGCCCGCGAGGATGAGCATCGGGTGCGGCCACGAGATCAGCGTCACCTGTGAGTGAGTGTTAATCACCTGTAATTACAATTGCAAGAACTCACGGCCAACTCCTTGCCGAGCGATTCGCCGAACTTGTCGCGAATGAAGAGCGGGTTGTAAGAAGCGCCGAACAGCAGAATGACCGACAGGTAGACGAAGCTGGTGGTCAGTTGGGCGCCGAGCGTGCCGAGGGGGATGGCCTTCTGCGCGTCGGCCAGGTCGCCCGAGCGGTTGGAGCCGGCGAGGATGCCGGTGCAGCTCGGGAAGTAAATGGCGACCAGAACTGTGAAAGAAGTGGAAATGTCGACAAAAATGTAATTCAGTTTCGAGAGAAAGTCCTTCTGGTCGCCGACAGAGGGCGACGGCGTCTCGCGCGACACCAGCGCATCCTTCTCGCGGAACTTCGGCACGAGGTTGTCCCAGAAGACGCCCGACGCGAGGCCCGGGATGGCGAGCTCGTGCTTCACTTCGTTCGCGTCGAAGTAGGGGTCGCAGTGCGTGTGGTTGCAGAAGAGCGCGCGCAGGGATTCGCGCGTGCAGTTGACGCCCTGTTTGTCGGACAGCACGCGCTCGCCGAGAACGCAGATTTTGTAGTCGGGAATGCCGGCGTAGTTGACGAAGATGCCCAGATAGATGGACGCGATGGAGATGAGCACGCACAACAATGCGATAGGCGCGAACTTGGACACGAAGCGCACGCCGATGAAGACCATGAAGCCGATGACGAGGAGGAATAAAGTGCCGTAGATGCGGATGTTGTGGTAGAGGATGTCTTTGTTGGTCTCGAAGTCGCCGAACAGCGCGATCTGCGGACACAAGTAGTTGAGCAGGATCTCGACGGCGCCCGCGATGTNTGAAGACCATGAAGCCGATGACGAGGAGGAATAAAGTGCCGTAGATGCGGATGTTGTGGTAGAGGATGTCTTTGTTGGTCTCGAAGTCGCCGAACAGCGCGATCTGCGGACACAAGTAGTTGAGCAGGATCTCGACGGCGCCCGCGATGTACATCTAATATAGAGAGGGGTTAGAGAGGGACAAGAGCTCGAGCGCACTCACGGCTCCGGCCACGCTCGTGCCCAGGAAGAAGAGCACTCCGACGGCGCCGCCGAACTCGGGCCCGAGCGAGCGCGAGATCATGAAGTAGGAGCCGCCCGCCGGCACGATCCCGTTCGTCGCGATCGCCGACAGCGAGATGGCCTGCGAGAATAGGAGAGTCACGTGACTGGGAATGGCTGGGAATGCCTCACCGTGCAGAAGGTGACTGAGCAGCAGAGGAGCACGATGGCGAAGAAGGCGGGAATGCCGGCCGTTCCCGTCATCCACGTCATGCGGATAAAGATGATGACGCCGAAGATGTTCTGAATGCACGGCAAGTACACTCCCGTGAGGACGCCGAGGTTGGCCTTGGGCTGCGCGCTGGCCGTCTTGGCCGAGGCGTCGACCGGCGGCTGAATGGCGTCGTCATAGTTGGCCAACCGCGACAACAGGCTGCTGTGCGCGGCTAGGAGCAGAAGCGACTTGTCTTTGTAGCGCAAGACCGCGAGCTTTCACAGCAGACACCCCTCTCTCCCTCTCTCACTCGCGCGTTACGGAAGAAGCGCCGGCTTTGGAAGATCCGACGGCAGAGAGACGATGAAAGGCGACATTTGCTGCTCATTGGGCGCCACTTCCGACGCGTCCGTCATTTCCTCCGCGTCTTTAATCACCGAAACCTCGAACTTTGGGACGACTGTGTCGTCTGTCATGTCGTCTGTCGTCTCTGAGCGTCGTCTCAACGCGAGCTTCACTTACGTTCGCATGTCTTCGCGTCGGCGCCGCTATTGTCTGCGCGCGTCGATCCGTAACACAGCGGAGACTGCGTTTCCGAAGACGTGTCGCAAATCAGTTCCATGTCTTCGGAGCGACGCGTCACCAGAAAGCGCGACATTTTCCGCTCGTTTCCGATGTCCTGTTTGTGGCCTCAGAGTTGGGATCAATTCGATGGCCAAAAAAGGACTTTTGAAAAGAGTTGCCAAACGAGTCGATGTCTGCGTCAAGTGATCCACAGATGGCGCTCTTGTCGTGTGAGTCATCACTGAATCGATTGTGAAATTCGACGCAAAAGACGACACCAGAAGACTCGCGACGACTACTGGTCGTCGACCACGACATGAGTGTCGTCTCTCTGCACGACATCCTCTCGGCCTTCAACGCGTCCATCAATGAAGAGCAGTGTTGGGCGCTTTGCCACCAAAGTCTGCAAACATTTCGCCTTCACTTCATCGCTGAAGAGTCACTTCTGGTCACAGAAACGAGTCATCTGTTGGTCAGCGCCGACGGAAGCGTTCATCAGCGGTCACTGCACGACGGTTTGTATGACGTCATCGCGAGAACTGTCAATAACACGACTTTTGCTCCAATCAGAGACCGAATTGCGACCGAAAGCCAACAATGAGAGCGAAGTAAGAGTTGTGGCTTTGAATCTCTTTTCTAACCACGAGTTCATTCGCAGATAATCTCTTCGCTGGGAATCGTTCTCTTCAGAGCTCTGGACTTCGGTCTCCACGACGACGAGGAGCGGTCTCTGAGCGCGCCTTTGGAGCGACTGATCGACAGATTGACGACAAACACGACGACAGAAGACGACGCGCGCGACGAAGGAATCGAATTGATGGAGAATTCGTCCAAAACGTCGTTCGATGACGTCATCCAAGTGAGTGTCCACTTGTGACGGCCAGTGTGTCACGTGTTCTCTTCGGCAGATGTGTTGCGCGCGACTGGAGGACGGCCAGAACGCGGACACGCATTACCGCGGCGTTTGTCGCGCTCTGGTTCTCGAGACTCTGGAATTGAAGTCATTTTTGGTGCAAATCTCGAGACAATCGAAAGACAAGAACGAGAAGAAGGAAGCGGAAGAAGAGGTGATCGAGGATTGGGCGCGTCTTTGGCTGCACGTGATTCGCCAGTTGCGCGAAGGCGTGTATTTGCGACCGATTCCCGCCGCCAGAGAGCGCTGCGACGCCGCGTTCGAGTTGACGCCGTTCGAGCGCCTCCTGGCGGACATCCGTTCGGGCGTTCCCTTGAATCGCGTGGAAGTGACGGAAAGCGAGCGCAACAAAGACGCGCACGAACTCATCCTCGACTTCATCCGCGCGCGCCCTTCGCTGCAGTCGGCGGAG